ATGTATTATATGAGAACATGATGGCGGCGACGGCGGCGGATCCGGGCCCCGCGCTCCCTGTGATGTCATATCCTTGTCCCGCGGATCGCATGTCTTGTGACATAATATTCTCGCAATTTGTTTATCTTCGCAATTTGTTTATAATAGCCAAATTATCGACGCTGAATGCTTTTATTATCAAATTTAAACATGCCCCCTCTCGGTGGCACATTTCAAAGGACGGTCGCGCCCCCCTCCCCCGCCTACGATTCCCCCCGTATCCCCCGCACCACCCACCGGAGTTCATGGATTAGAACCGGTCTACTACATCTACTTATTTAATATTTGATTTTAAAATTTGAATTATACAACTGTTTAATTACTTTCTAGCATGTTTTGAAACAATTACTGTAATCATTTTCTGATCACTATATAAATGTTTGTCTTATACAACGAAATGGCTTCGTTAACATAAAGTATATATATTGTTCACACATAAATGTGACATTTTGATAGACTAATGACGTTTTCATTATATCTTATTGTTATATATTGCATAATATTTTATAAATAATATGTAATTTAATATTACGTAATATTACGCTATATCTATTATTTCATTATATGAATGAAATGAAATAAATACAAAATATGAATTACATCGAAGAGTTATAATTAAAAGATGTAAACTTTAAAAAAAACTTTACGTTTTTGTTTTATTTATGTAAATATGTATTGTGTTTTGTAAAAATTATATCATACAGATTCTGAAATTGTGTACTTTTTAAAAATATTATTACTGAGATGTAATGCATTTTATAAATTATCTATTAAATTGTTTTTCTGTTCCGTGCCATTTTAATAATTCAGAACTATCTGCGATAGTTATTTTGGATTACAATTGAGAAATAAATTATCATCTTGTATCGATAGATAATTACAGTCTGTTTTATTCTATTACTTTATTAAGATAAAGCTGAGCGTATTTGCTGGGTTATTATGTATATTATGTTTAATATGGATCATTATTCTTATGAAAATGTTTATAAATTGTTGTATATATTTTATTTACTTGTTAAAGAATTTGTTAATAACTGTATTAAATATGGGAAATATTTTTCTTATTTAGTTATACTATAGTTATATTATAGTTATATTATACTTAACTAAGAAAGATAATTAATAATGTTATTTCAATATTTATTCATTAAAAATGACTTAAAAATTATGATTAAATGACGATATATTTATGACGATAATATTTCGTGACAAATGTTACATTTATTTTACGTCATTATTTAGTATACTGACGTCGAATG